TGTTTCCAGCGGAAGGTCCACCACGACAAAAAAAATAAAAGTTTTATATCTAACGTATTTACGGGCCGATTTGTCTGCTTTTTAAAATATATACTGGCTATGTAAGTAAAATCATCTTTGCATAAAATGGTCTTCCTAGGTGGTGCCGAGGTCGAGATATTTCGAAAAACCGTATTTATGGTCTGATTTGGTTCGAATTTGGCGTATGTGGTTGAAACATAATAAATCATAGATTTCTAATAAATTGACCCTGAATTGGCGCTGAAGTCAAAATATAAAGTATATTCTACATAAAATACATGTTTTATTTGCGTTGAAAATTCATTTAAAAGCAATATTAACAAAAATATAACGATGGAAATTTATGTCACGTGACGCCACGTCACGTCACGTTTCACACTTGGGGTTGTAAAAGAGAATTGAAACAATTTGCATTAATTCAAAAAACTCTAAAAACAACTAGAATTGCTCCAAATCATATTAAAATAAGTTTCATGAAAATAGCCATCCACAATTCGCAGAGTTTTGCGATTTTGTAAGAAAAGAAAAAATCAACTTCCATTTTTTGTCACGTAACGACACTCTCTTTAAATGCTTATATTTCAGGACCAAGCAGTTCGATTGATTTCATTTTTCGGTTAAATATAGAGCTAATTATGTGCTATACAATGGCCCAAAAAAGTTAAAGAAAACAAATGGTATTCCTTTTTTGTATCACATTGAAATCGTATGACTGTCACCATGGGAATGCCCATATATGTATAAAACGAATGCATTCAACGGATAGAAAAAAATAAATAAATTTTAAGGCAAGAGAAACTATCGTAAAACTCATAACATCTGCTAACATACATTTCTTGGCCGGGTGAGGTCCTTTTGTACATTTACTTACATATGTAGGTACATATGTTTATCAATGGGAAGAATTTCGATTTCGATGCTTAAAAATATACCGTTAAGTTATTTTCTGATGAACCCATTGTTTCAGTTTCCGCTAAGAGGTTAGAACCACTAGCAGCGTTACAATTCAAATTCGCTACCGATAAAACTCCTCGCTGTGCGTTTGCTGTCGGCCCCCAAGCAGTTTTTTTATTGTTGGTTTCTGATGTCATGTTGTCCTGATTTGAAAGTGAGTCATTTTCGATCTCATTGTCTTCGAACAATTGTCCATTGGCTGAGGCACGCGACACTATGCCTGGAAGAATGACTAATGACGTTTTTGGCTACATTTATAAATAAATTCTGGGTTCTTACTTACTTCTCACAGTTGCAGCGTAACTTTCACGCTGTCTTTCATGATCACGTTCTTGTTCGCGTTTAGCTAGGGTAGTGGTGGAATTCGGCAGACCAACGCCGGCATGATCCACACAATTGCCGATGGGGTTCGACATAGTGATGTTGCCATCGTTTTTCATATGCAACACAGACACGCCGCTAGTGCCGCTCATGACTATAGCACCAGTACCATTGCTGGAAATTTGTTCGTGTGTAACCAAGTTGGCCGAAGAAACTGCACTATGTGCATTGCTGTGTACACGATTTCGTCCCAAAGGTGGGGAAGCCTTTTGAATTTTTCTCTTAGAGCGCAATATATAGCAAGTAAGAACCAAAACTATCAAAATGAATACACTGATGATCATGCTTAAAATTCCAATTAAATTGGAACGCCAAGACACTTGAGCAAGTGCGACGCCATCCAGAGCTATTGTAACAGGCACAGAAGTGCTTCGTTGTGGTACACCTGAATCAGTTGCTATGGCTATTAAATGAACCGTTGATTCATTTAGTCCTTGAAGTTGCTCAGGCCGAATATAAAGGCTGCCCTTAGAGTCTATTTCGAAAAGACCAGCATGCTGGCCTCTTAACGAAAATTCCAGCTTATCGTTGCGGTCCCCATCTGCAGCTTCTACATTTCCAATTAGAATGCCGTCAAAAGATTGAGTTTCGGAATGGAGGGCCTGCAGAACATTATAAAATAGAAAAATTTTTTTTTTAAAATTTTGTTTGATTTCCAGAAATTAAAAGAAATATCATAGATCTACAAAAAGTAATAAAAAACTCTACCAGCACAATTTGGGTAAAGTTTCTACGAATTTCTTAACAGCAATGTGCAAATTTTACCGTATTGCACTGTAAATTTTTGTGTACGTGTGAGTCTTTGTACTATTCAAACATTTGTTTATAGGAGATTTTCGAAGTAATTTCTAATGGTGTTTGGGATTTGAAAAGGAAAATGTAATTGTATTGGAGTATCGGATGAATTGCTCTGGTAGGGATTACATTTTCATTTTCAAATCTAAAACACTATCACAAATTACTTCGAAAATTTCCTATAAACCAACGTTAGAATACCCACCACGCAAAACATGAGAAGTAATTACCAACAACAGGGGCGCACCAAGGAATATATTTTGGAAGTGGTTTATACTTCTAGAGATATATCACCAGAAAATACTGAAAATTCGCTTCAGATAATATGTACTTTAAAATACAGTATGTAATAAATAAATACACGTTTTAAAGATTCATAAATTGCACTTTATTTACATAAAATTAACAAAGAACTCAAATATTTTTAACCGACTTAGGTTATCAGTTTTTAGGAATATTTTTTTCTTTTTTATGTATGCTACCGTATAACTTTGGACCACAAATACCGATTTCAATAATTATTATTTTTTATCGGAAAGATGGTAGGTACCTCACGGGCAGGGTGGGCAAAAACTCGGAGTTCGAGCGAGCGAGCGAGCAAACTCCTACTCAAAGCCTCGCAGGCAACGAGGCGCTCGCAGCTCGGACTCGTAGCAGCAATGGGGCGAGGCACGAGCAGTTTGGCTTGCTCGCGAGTGCTGATTGTATGCTCGCGCTCCTATTAAACGAGCGAGGCTGTTGTGTGTTGCCTCGCTCGCAGTGCGAGGCGAGTAGCTGTCTGCATACTCGCTCTGCTAGGTAAGACGAGTGAGCGACGAGCGAGCGCTCCGAGTGTACTATACAACACATGCATTTTTGTGCATCAAAATGTGGGAATGTATGTCAATAGATTATGTACGAAATTATGTTAATAATTGTATCTACGTATGTACATATGCATATAAATCAGTGCCCGCCAAAAAGAGAAAAATATTAAAATGAGAATGTATTACCCAGCCAGCAAAATCATCGTAAACAAGCTCGTAATTGGATATTTTCTCGAAGAAAAACCGGATTAAAAATCGTTTATGATAGCCGTTTACGAATCTTTTTCGAGCACTTTTTCGCTTTAAATTGTGCATCGCCTACGAACAGTCGTAAACGGATCGAAAAAGCATTCGTATGCGAATATTTTTACGTCCGTTTTTTAATTGTAAACGAGTCTCGTAAACGATTAATTTACGTTAAAAAAGCGTCTTTTTACACTGCTTTATCTACTGTTTTTGAATGCTAAAAATAGAGGCAATTAATTAATTCAAATTATTGTAGTTCTTTTATTGAATGGAATTATAATTAATAAATATTTATAGTGCCGGATCAAAGTATTGGCACAGAGAATTTTTCGCAATGTATGCAAAGTTTTTTACTTGAATT